GTCTTTTGATGGTTTCTTCTATTTCCTCAATTGATATTGATCTGTTTAGGTTGTCTATATCCTCCTGACTCAATCTGGGCAGATCATATGACTTAAGAAATTTATCGATGCCTTCACTATCTTCTAATTTATTGGAGTATAAGGATTCAAAATAATTTTTGATTATCTTCTGTATATCTGAAGTGTCTGTTGTGATATTGCCTTTTTCATCCCGTATAATGTAATTTGAGTTCTCTCGCTTCTTCTCTTCGTTAGCATGGCTAAGGGTCTGTCGATTTTGTTTATTTTTTCAAAGAACCAACTTTTAGTTTTGTCAATTTTTTCAATTGTTTCTTTTGTTTCGATTTCATTAATTTCAGCTCTGATTTTAATTATTTCTTGCCTTCTACTTCTTTTGTTGTTGTTTTGCTCTTCTTTTTCTAGGATTTTGAGATGAAGTATGAGATCATTTATTTGTTGGTTTTTTCTTTTTTTAAGGAATGAACTCCAAGCAATGAATTTTCCTCTTAGAACTGCTTTCAATGTGTCCCATAGATTCCGATATGTTGTGTCTGTGTTTTCATTTATCTCTAAGAATTTTTTAATTTCCTCCTTGATGTCTTCTATAACCCATTGATCACTCAGTAACCTATTGTTCATTCTCCAAGTGATGCATGATTTTTCCTTCCTTCTTTTATCGTTGATTTTCAGTTTCATTCCATTATGATCAGATAAGATGCATGGTATTATCTCTACTCCTTTATATTGTCTAAGAGTTGCCCTGTGACATAATATATGATCTATTTTTGAGAAGGATCCATGTGCTGCTGAGAAAAAAGTGTAACTGCTTGATGTTGGGTGGTATACTCTATATATGTCAATTAGGTCTAGGTTATTAATAGTGTTATTGAGTTCTATAGTTTCCTTATTCAACTTTTGTTTGGAAGATCTGTCCAGTGGCGAGAGAGGTGTGTTGAAGTCTCCCATGATTATGGTATGGTGGTCTATTAGACTCTTGAACTTGAGAAGAGTTTGTTTGACGAACATAGCTGCACCATTGTTTGGGGCATAAATATTTATGATTGTTATGTCTTGTTGGTGTATGGTTCCCTTAAGCAGTATGTAGTGTCCCTCTTTATCCCTTTTGATTAACTTTGGCTTGAAATCTATTTTATTTGATATGAGTATGGACACTCCTGCTTGTTTCCGAAGTCCATATGAGTGATAAGATTTTTCCCAACCTGTCACCTTCAGCCTATGTATGTCTTTTCCTATCAAATGCATCTCCTGTAGGCAGCATATTGTTGGGTCTTGTTTTGTGATCCATTCTACTAGCCTGTGTCTCTTAATTGGTGAGTTTAAGCCATTAACATTTAGGGTTATTATTGAGATATGGGTTGTTCTTCCAGCCATATTTGTTTATTTATGTTACTAAACATGGTTTGTTTTCCTCTTTGATTATTTCCCCCCTCCTTTAGTGTCCTACCTCCCACTGTTGGTTTTCATTGTTATTTTCCATTTCCTCTTCCTGTAATGTTTTGCCGAGGACGTTTTGAAGAGCTGGTTTTCTAGCTGCAAATTCTTTTAACTTTTGTTTATCGTGGAAGGTTTTAATTTCATCTTCCATCCTGAAGCTTAATTTCACTGGATACACAATTCTTGGTTGGAACCCATTTTCTTTCAGTGTTTGAAATATGTTATTCCAGGATCTTCTAGCTTTCAGAGTCTGTGTTGAAAGATCAGCTGTTATCCTGATTGGCTTACCCCTAAATGTAATCTGCTTCCTTTCTCTTGTAGCTTTTAAAATTCTCTCCTTATTCTGTATGTTGGGCATCTTCATTATAATGTGTCTAGGTGTGGATCTCGTATGATTTTGCACATTCGGCGTCCTGTAGGCTTCTAGGATTTGGGATTCTGTCTCATTCTTCAAGTCTGGGAAGTTTTCTCGTATTATTTCATTGAATAGATTGCTCATTCCTTTGGTTTGGAGCTCTGTACCTTCCTGTATCCCAATGACTCTTAAGTTTGGTCTCTTAATGTTATCCCATATTTCTTGCATGTTCTGCTCATGGTTTCTTAACAGTCTTGCTGAGCTGTCTATGTTCTTTTCAAGTTGAAATACTTTGTCTTCATTGTCTGATGTTCTATCTTCTAAGTGTTCTACTCTGCTGGTAGTATTCTCCATTGAGTTTTTAAGTTGGTTTATTGCTTCCTGCATTTCTAGGATTTCTGTTTGTTTGTTTTTTATAACCTCTATCTCCCTGTATAGTTGATCCTTTGCTTCCTGGATTTGTTTGTGTAATTCATTGTCGAAGTGATCTTTCATTGTCTGATTTTGCTGTCTAATGTCTTCCTTGATACTCCAGATCATCTGAAGCATGTATATCCTGAATTCTTTATCTGACATTCCATCTGCTGCAGCTGTTACCTCTTCTAAAGTTGAGTTGACCTGCATTGCTTGTGGTCCTTTCTTTCCTTGTCTTTTCATACTGCTTGCGTTTCTTTCTGCTTGGTGAAACTGTTGTGTTTTTGAAATGTTTTTTCCCCTATATATTTATATTGCTCTTGTATAGTTGAAAAGTCTCCCTTGCAGGGTCGGGCGGCGGTCTGCCTACCTTGCAGGCGCGGGCAGCGGCTCTGCTCTGCCCGTCCTCCAATTGGTGTGAGGTATCTATCATGCCCGCTGACCCCTGGGCCTGTCCTGCTGGTCAGTCGCAGGTCTGCCTACCTTGCAGGCGCGGGCGGCGGCTCTGCTCTGCCCTTACTCCAATTGGGGTGTCGTGACTACCACGCCGGCAGGTCACTGGGCTTGTTCCGGGCACGGGCGGCAGCTCTGCTCTGCCCCTACTCCAATTGGGGTGACGAGTGTACCACGCCGGCAGGCCACTGGGCTTGATCCGCTGGTCGGTTGCAGGTCTGCCTACCCTGCAGGCGTGGGCAGCGGCTCTGCTCTGCCCCCCCTCCAATTGGTGTGACTTGTCTACCACACCCGCGGACCGCTGGGCCTGTTCTGGGCGCAGGTGAAGGCTCTGTTCTGCTCCTACTCCAATTGGGGTGACATGCCTACCACCCCGGCCGGCCACTGGGCCTGTCCCGCTGGTCGGTCGCAGGTCTGCCCACCTTTCGGGCACGGGTGGCGGCTCTGCTCTGCCCCTACTCCAATTGGGGTGTCGTGACTGCCACGCCGGCAGATCGCTGGGCCTGTTCCTGGCATGGGTGGCGACTTTGCTTTGCCCCTACTCCAATTGGGGTGACGTGTGTACCATGCTGGCAGGCCGCTGGGCCTGACCTGCCAGTCTGTCGCAGGTCTGCCTACCTTGCAGGCGCGGGCGGCGGCTCTGCCCTGCCCCACCTACCATGCCCGCAGACCGCTGGGCGTGATCTGCAGGTTGGTCGCAGGTCTGCCCACCCTGCAGGCACGGGTGGCGGTTCCGCTCTGCCCCCACTCCAATTTGGGTCATGTGACCACCACACCGGCGGGGCCTGATCCAGGCGCGGGCGAAGGCTCTGCTCTGCCCCTACTCCAGTTGGGGTGACTGTGTACCATGCTGGCAGGCCGCTGGGCCTAACCTGCCAGTCTGTCGCAGGTCTGCTTACCTTGCAGACGCGGGCGGCGGCTCTGCCCTGCCCCTCCTACCACGCCCATGTACCACTGGGTCGCAGGTCTGCCCACCTTGCGGGCGCGGGCGTCGGCCCGGCTCCTCCCCTCTGGCTCGACGACAAAGCGAGAGAGACTCGGATGTCTGTGACTCACCCTCCCTACCAGGAGACCAACTGTTTCTGTCGCCACTGGTATTGATGAAGTTCTCTCCTCCGCCGCTTTCTGATGACATCAGATCTCTGCCATGTTGGTATCCTATGGGAATGGCAGCATTTTGTTCCCTTTGCCGGGTGACCAAAGCAATGGGTGAGTCCTGACCGGCCCTCACAGGCCCCTTCTCCATCCTGTTGATACTGCCCACGAAGGCTTGGTTGGTATTTACCTCCACAGTACTCAGCAGGACCCGGACCGAGAAGCAGTTTCTGCGGGCTCCTTAGCCCTGGGCCAGAGCAGTTCCGGGAGCCAGAACTCGGCCGCTCCATGCTTGGTGTATGCTCTGATAAGAGCAGGCTCCAAAAAGCAGTTTCCGCGGGTTATTTAGCACTGAGCCTGAGTAATCTGTCTGCAAGCCGCAGGCGAATGGCAGCCTGAAATTACCTGTTCTATGGCTGAATGAGCTGAGGTCAGTCGAAAACAGGGATGGTGACGTCCGCTCTCCAAGATGGTGGCCGCTGGCCTCCTCTGTGGTCTGACCGGTGTGGAAAACCGAATTGGACTGCTTCCTTCCCCCGTCTCGAACCCAGAATTCAGCACTGAGTACGGTGCTTGCACGGCTGGCAGAAACTACAGCGCTGTATCCCTGTGTCGCTATCTCCTCGTTTCCCAGTGCACGCTGCAGACTCTAGCCGCGGGGCGATTTGCTGAATAAGCAGCGTTACCCTCCATGCGACAAATCTCTCGCGTTTGAGTCCCTGTAGCCGATCCTCGTGTGATGGAAATCCTTCCTCCAGGTTCCGGAGCACCCCACTATTGCTGGAAATTCCTAAAAAGATAGCCTTTAGCCGTCCTGACTCGTCATACTCCCACACAGTGACGCGGCACATGGGGGCAATGCACTCCCCTCGCCGCCATCTTCCTGTCCGAGATTAGATCTTAAATGTACTTATCACAAAAAAGTAAGGTGATGGGTTTATTAGCATGTTCGATTTATTTATATGTGTGTGCATATATATATATATGCATATATATATATATACATATATATGTATATGTATATATTATTTATCCCTTGATGAATTCCAAGCATTACTTATTTAAATGCTATTCCATTAAAACGAGATTATAAATGCCTAGGAGACCTGGTGAGCATGTGACTCATACCAAGAATTTAGGGAAGAAGGAAGAATCACCACCAACAAAAGCCAAGAAGAAAATACCTAAAAGAAATACCCCAGCAAACAGAATTTTAGAGAAAACTTACCGGCCACCACACCATACTTCGGCCTGCCAGGAAAAAACCTCCAACTGTCCCACGATTGGTGGAAAACATAGCCTAAGGAAGAAAGGTCCAAAATTTAATAGAAAACTAGAAGAGTGACCTTACCAGCCTAATGACACACCTCCTCATATTGGCACTTTCATTAGCCACTCCACTTTTTGACCTTCTTCTTTCACTTTCCTATTCCCCTGGACTCTCAAAATATTAAATGATGGAGGCAGGGCCCTACAGTTAACAGACAAGGAAACTGAGGCTCAGAAGGCTTAAACAATTCCCCTAGTGCCAGTGAAACAAACTGAAATTAAGGACAACTTCCTGATAAGTGGTTTTTTTTTTTCCATTGTGTATTTCCTCATACTGGGAATAAAGTCTCTAACCTGGGGAATGCCAAAGATGCTGAGAATGGAGATCACCCCCTGCCCCAGTCTGTCTAGTACAGGTAACTAAATATACATATGTATGCCATCTGGCTTTTGTTTCTACAAACTATAACCATTTCTGTGGGACCTGCAGATAAACAACCTCATTGCTTCTCCCTAGTTTGACCAAACTGCAAAAAATTCATTTTCATTTTCCATCTTTTGCCTATTGTGTGGGTGGGTGGTCAGATCCAGCCAGTCAGGATCCAGGCAGGATCTCTGGGCTAGGCTGCCAGTAACACTAGCTCACTCTGCAATTGGTTCTGAACAAGCCCCTCCACCTTTTGTGTTTGCTTTTGTGTTAAATTGGAGGAAATGCAACTCTTTTAAAATTTTTATTGGTGCATTATAATTATACATAATAATTTTACTATTATATACACACATGCACAAAATATACCAAGATAATTTGGTCAATTTTATTTCCCAGTACATCTCTTCCCTCCTTTCCCTGATCCCTTTTGGAAATGGAACTTTTTATGTGTTTCTTACAAGAATATCAGAGTACCTAATGACATATACTTTTGAAAAGTACTATATGGTACTTGTATGGAATTGTATCTCAAAAAAGCTATTGTCAAGAAAAAGAAAATACCATAATAGTTCAAAATGCTAATACTACATATTACATTTAAAAACAGATGTTCAAACTCAATACAAATTTATCCCTCCCTGAAGATGTAAGTAGGATCTTGCTGGAATTGTTTTTTGGCAATATATTGTGACTAACGTAAATACACAGGAAGGGTGCAATTTCTTCTAAAAAGAGGACAAGATAGAAGGCTTCCCAGAATGAGCAGCATTTCAGCAAATCTTAGAGGAAAAGTGAGGTTAGATTAAAGGACAAAAAGGGAGGGGGATTTCAGGAGTTCAGTAATCCAGAGGTGGAACTATACCCAGGCTGGGGAGGGAAGGAATGGCAAACAGTGTTAGTTGTTGAACTTGACTGAGGCATATGAATGGGGAGAGTGGTGAGAGGTGAGCCAAGATCTCAAATGCCAGGCTAAAAGTTACAGGCTGTATTCATAAGCAATAAGCAGTCACTGAAGTCTTAGGAGGAGAAATATGACATGTATGTTTAATGAATGATGACCAGCTCTTCTCAAGCCTTCTTTGGAATGTTGTTTCTGAGACTGCAGCTTATTTCTGTTTGAGCTCAGGCCCAGGCCCAGGTCCAGGCTTTTAGCGTAAAATGGGGCAGTGTTTCTGCTCTTGTCCCTGGACCTCCTCCCCCTTCCTCTTTTCTGTCACTGGCTTTCTCTCAATAGATGCTTGTTAATTTCCCTGAAAATGTTAATGGCTGACAGGGGCTTATCCCTATAAGATGTGTTTGTGTTTTCATAGTTGACCATGAGGCTAAAAGGCATCACTGGTCTAAAGAAATTAACCTCTGATGATGACATTTCAGGCATTTATGAACTTGCCATTCATTCAGCAAACAAGTCTGCAGTGGATGACGCATTGCTAGGTTGTCACACTGCAAAGAAGTATTGAATAAAGTTCTTTAAGAAGCAGGATCATTTATGCATCTAATTAAATAATATAGATTTGTTGAGCATCCCTGTGTGCTTTGCAGTACCAGGGAGAGTGCATCAGGGCTTTCTGGACTCCTAGCAGTGTCTTCCATCCCATTGGACATACTCTGAGGACTCTATAGTGGATTTTTTGAGAATAACAGGACAGTCAACAGATCTAAAAAGAACCAATAGAGAGAGAGAGAGAGAGAGAGAGAGAGAGAGAGAGAGAGAGAGAGAGAGAGAGAGAGAGAACACCAACAGACCTAAAACATATGAAGGTCACTAGGGCTGAAATAGAAATAAATCCAAATGACTTAGCCTCCAGCAATGGGCTGGAAAATGATCATTCTGAAATCAAAGAAGGTGATATTCCCCAGCCTGATTAGGGAGACAGGAAAAGTGGGTTGAGGTCCAGACACAAATATTTCTCGGTTGGTCACAAAAATGAAGAGCTTTGAGGAAGAATATGAGTGTAGGGTCTAGAGTGGGGAGCTATAGTAATTCAGAAAAGATATTGATGTACCAAAGGTAAAGAGAGGTGCACCTCTGCAAGGCCTTTCCTCTCCAGCATGGTTATCCTCTCCTCATCTCTGCTTACCCATCCCTCAAGGCCTCTCAAATGTCATCTTCCCTGTGAAACCTTACCTGACACTCTCCCCATGGAAATCTCTTCTATGAACTCTTCCCTTCCCCAAACAAAAATAATCTCTCCCTCCTCTGAACACCTAGAGAACTCTATTTTTACCGTGTTCAAAGTCCTTACATGTTTTTTTACTTTGTGTTAACATATTACAAATTTTTAATCCCTATAGAACCTAGTAAATGCCTTATGCATAGAAAGGCACAAAGGAAACTTCAAGGTCCCAAGGTTCACTTTGTAAACCATAGTGTTAAATTCACACATCTACCCTACAACTAGAAGAGAATGAACTCACAAGAGCAAAAGAAGAACAATTAACTCACAATGGTTTTGTTTTTGTTTTGTTGTGTTGTGTGTGTGTTTTTTTTCTCATTGAAATAAAAATATCATTGAACAAAAGGAAGGAAGTTTAGGCCTCAGTTTAAATGAGAAACAGATTAAGAGACTGGAGATGTTGGGCCTGGGGAGAAGACTCAGGTGTGGCCTATTATCTTCTGATATGTAAAACAGGACAGTCACACTCAGTGCATCCTGCATATGGCATAACAAAAAATGGGAGAAGCCCCAGGATGTCAGGTTGAAGCTGGGTTCCAGCTCCTTTTTATCAGAGCTGTTCAGAGATGGCAATGGGGCCACTGGGAAGATTTTCTGCTGAAAGTATTCAAGTCAAGGCTGTTGACAACTGGCCAAAGTGATTTTGACAAATGGCTTAAAGAAGAGATGTAAATATAAGATGAAGAAGATTGAAGTCAATAAATTTAGGTCTCATCTTTATGAAGATATACACAGAAAAAAGAAATTCAGAACCACTGGGACACTGTCCAGCAATGCTTTGGTTGAAAGGTCAAAGGAGAGAGTATTCCAAAAAAGAACAGTGTCTTAGAGGGGGCAAGAAAGAATATTGGACCTGGGTCCTAATCCCAGTTCTATATTGATTCACCTGATTGACTTCTAGCAACCCTCTCTGATCTTAATCTGTAAAATGGAAAGCTAGGGTTCACCCATTTCAGCTCAGGCAGTCAATGATGCTGTTGGTTCAACTTAGTACTGTAAGGGTAAAAGAAATTGAAGTTAAAGAGTAAAAGTTAAAGGGTAAAAGACCGGGCATTGTAAAATTTCTAAGCTGCAAGGTCTGAGTTAAAATGTAAAGGATTAGGTATTGTTAGGTTTCTATGCTACCTGCAAAACCTGAAATTCCTGAGGCAGTTAAGACAATGCCCTACTGGCTATTTAGTTGATTTATAGCATTCAAGACCCTGTGCAGCTTGTCACGTAGGCATTGCAGGGCCTGGACCAATCAGTTTGAATGTAACCCCCTCCTTAGGAATGACCTATCACTCCAGCCTGACCTGTTCCCGCCAATGAATGAACTAATCATGTTTAGGAGTTGTTGTTTGATTTTCCCACGGTGTATAATGATTTGTTAAAGGAGACTGTGATGTATGTAAAATCCCCACCCTCCCAAAAAAAGTGTACTTAAGCAGTGCTCAGCCCCTGCTCGGGGGTCTGGGCTGTTCTCCCTTCTTGAGTGGGCATGGAGCCCTAGCATGCTAGATCAATAAATCCCCTTCTGCCAATTGCATGAGTGGTCACTTGGTGGTGTCTTTCTCCGACGTTTTGCCGGACCCTTACAGTGCATAACACAGGGGTTGTTAAATTTATTCTGTAAGGGGAAGACTCTGATAATAAATACTTCATATTTTGTGGGATACATGCTGCCTCACTGTTTTTTTTCTTGTTTTGTGTTTATGACAATTTAAAAGTGTGAAAAGCAGCTGGGTGTGGTGGTGTATACCTATAATCGCAGTGGCTCTAGAGGCTGAGGCAGGACAATCACAGGTTTAAAGTCAGCCTTAGCAACTTGGTGAGGCTGTAAGCAACCTAGTAAGATCTTGTCTCAAAGTAAAAAAAAAAAGGTAATAAATAAAAAAGGCTGGGGATGTTGCTTGGTGATTAAGCACCTATGGGTTCAATCCCTGATGCACAATTAAATGAATAAATAAATAAAAGCATGAAAAAGCATTTTTAGTTTGTGCATCATACAAAATCAGAGTGTGGGTCAGATTTGGCCCATGGACCATAATTTTAACAAACCCTGGCTTGAGAGGATTACAGGATAGTAGAAATGTTTCAGGATAACAAGGATAGAGATTCATTTTCAGAAGATATAAATCCCCCAAGAAGTCACCTGGGAGGAAATAAAAGTGGAAATAAATACCAAAGAAGCCACAATCCAAAGCTCAAATATGATCGAAAGAGACACAGACGGAAGAATATGAAACTACTGAAGAATACTGGAAGTGACAGGATAGTGACAGAGGGATGCTGCTAAAATGGGCCTGGACCCTTGTATCTGTGCAATCCAGGGATTAGGCATGAGTCAGAAGCCTATCCCAAAGTCACTCTTAACCCTTTCATAGCAAAAAGGGGAGTCTTGACTGGAAAAAAATTCAGCATGTTAAATGATCAGGGTCCAGGGGCACTGCTAATGGGGGAAGATTAAATGTGTCGACAAATACTAGTAGGCTCATTAACCAGCATTTAAAAGGACAAGTGGTACTGATTCACAGATATTTCAGAAGTGCAAATACCATAAAAAATGTAAACATCTGTAGTACTGGCAGGGCTAAAGAGATTGGTTTACAAAACTGAGATTATCGGGATTGTCAGGGAAATGGGCAGTATAGCATGGCTACCAAATGATAGATTCACATCTTGGCTATAGTGTATATAAGCTGGGGAGGAGTGGGAGGTATTAAGGCAGACACAGTGACAGTGTGCCTGATACCTTGAGAAACCAGGAGTCATGATAACCTGAGTTCCAGGAACAACCCCATGTATTGCAAAATCTTAGGCAAATCACAACCACATGGGGTTTCAACTTCCTCTTTTGTAAATTGGGGATTAGCATTTCCGTCTTGTGGCTTTTTGTAAAGATGTTCTACCCAGCTGACCATTTTTCCCATTTTACTTAACAGGACCAAATTATTCAGAGTCTGGGTGACACCCTGCAGGGAAAATGAGATTCAAAAAAAATTCCTAAAGACTGTAAAAGTTTTCAGATTCATCTCTGCAGATCCTTACAATATCTTTGAGAAGTCATAAGATTAGATGCAACTGTACTTGTCTTATTCTTGGGTAAACTGAGGCTGCAGGAAGCTATCCTACCTGGTCATTTGATTCTAACCATGAGAAAGCCAGTACCAAACTTGAGTATTCTGATTCCTACTTGAATATTTCCCACTGTTTGGAGGAAGCTAAGAATATTGAGAAAGAGTAAGCCACACCAACCCCATGTGACACTTGAGGAGTCTTTCTATTAAGAAATTTCTATTTCCCCCCCAAATCCACACTTCCTTTTACTCCTGAAAGTTTCAGTGCCCACACTTCCCTCTAAGTCTAAAGAGTTCAACACAACCAGGTACCATTGGCACAGTAGCCCCCTCTGTCATCCCCACCCAGGACAACACTTGAAAGTGGTTGGAATATTTGCATGCTTTTAAAACACTTTCTCTTTTAGTGTTAGGTGTGTCAGAGTCTGTCACAAAAGAACTTTCCAAGTTCCAGGATGCAGAGAACACGTTTCTCTAGTTTGGTGTGTCACCAGAGTCCCAAGGGGAGACACATGCACTTCCCTCTCTGCAGCACCAGGACACCCTCTGGTCTTCCTCCTCTTCTTCCACATAACTTCCCCATTCCTGATTAGCTCCAGCCACTGGAATTCCCTGGCAAAGGCCTCTTGTTTAATCTTCCGCAGGAGCAGTGACATTGGTCAGCCACACTCACAGATTGCCCCAAGCACCTGAGCCTGACAGGGTTTGTGACTTTCTGGCTTGAAACCATTTCTTTCCCATTTAAAGTTGGTTAACTAAGGTAGGAAAGTAGTCACCTGCCAGGGGACCCTCTCTACCTCTTGGCTTTTTCTTTCTTTCTCTCAGCAATCCTCCACCTTCCTTCTTTGCTCCCAGGTCCCAGGAATCTCCCTTGGCTTTCCTGATGCTCCCCTGGGAACCCGTCTGACAGAAGTTCATGCTTGCTTTCCTGCCACACATTGTGCTCCTCAAAACCTCTCAAGGGTTTCCAACTTTCCCACTTGCCTCAATAGACAGATAAACCCATCCGCCTCTTGGCAGCTCATGGACACCATCCCTTTGTGCGCCCCTCTTGTCCCGTCCTCTTCAGCTCCGGTCCCAGGACTCCTACATACCCATAACCCAACGCCATCACAACCACAAAGTAGATGACAATGACAGAGATGTCTGCAGCATTTTTGATGCGCTCCTAGGATTCCACTGGAGCAGCAGTGGTGGTGGGTGATGGGCTCCAGGTGCTACTGTCCATGGTGATGATGGCAAATCCCTCCCCCACACCCGGACTGCTCACTTCTTATTCAGCCTCTGAGTTAATTATCAGCCTTAGGGGTGGGGATCCGCGATGGAGGGGCAGCAGGGCAGTGAATTAAAGCTTCTGCACTGCTGTTGCTGCTGCTGCTGCTGTTGCAGGTGCTCTGCACTGTCGGCCAGCAGCACCAAGATTGGAGTGCTGAATGAGGAGTCAGCCGAGCTGTTGGCGGGGCGGTGTCCTCCAGAACAGATAAAGGCTGTCCCTCGAGCAGGGAGGGGCCGGCCAGGAGGTGGTGTCCCCGTGGCACAAAGGCCAAGGTCCTCTAGCTGCGGGAAACCACCAGGCTGCCACGCCTGGCCTGCCATGGGATTCCACCTGGGACAGAGCAGGAGTGGCTTAATAGAGGGATCACCGCCTGGGGCCAGGGACCTAGAGACAGTTAAGAGCACCTGCCAACTGCTGCTCGTGGACAAGTCCCAGCCCCTCTCTGGACCTGGCTTCTCCATGTGTAAAATGGGCACAGAGCTCTTCTAAGAAACTCAGCTAAATTCTTGGTCTTGTGGAGAACATTCTGGGAAAATGGGAACTTGCTGGATGCATAATCATAATCCCTGGCCACAGGCATAGCCAGTCACTCACATTCCTGATTCCACCTCCACAGCCCCCAAGGACACTGTTACCCTCCTATAGGAGGAAGACACTGAGACTTGAAGAAGGGAAGCATTTCCTTACTCTGTGTCTCACCAGGTACAGTTAGCCCTGCATATCCCAGGATTTGGCATCCAGAGTACAGAATTTTTGCTTGCCATTATTCCCTAAACAATACAGTATAACAACTGTTTACATAGAATTTACATTTTATTAGGTATTATAAATAATATAGTATTTAATACATATGTGAGGATATACATAGGTTATGTGCAAACCCTGAGACTTCCTGGGTACTCAGCCTGCTCATTAGGAGACACATATCTAAGCCACACCCTGGGCTCAGAAAAGAGATGGTTGAGAAAGGAAGCATGACTTATCCAAGGTCACACAGTAAGGGAGTGGCCCTGCAACCCAAGTCAGGTCAGGGACTCTTTCAGAGGGATTCTTGGAAAGATATTCTCAAGGGGTGACCCTGAAGGCTTAGAGCAACCAAAAGTGGCTGTTCTGGGAGAGGAGAGCCTTGATCCAATGAGAAAGTACAAGGAGGAGAAAGGACCACATAAATTCTACCAGGACTCTGTTCTTCCCTGGGTCCTCCCTGCCCTCAACTAAAAACCATTCACTGCTAATATGTAAACAGACTGCAAATTCCATGTCATTTTATATAAGGGATTTGAAAATCTGCACATTTTGGTATCTACAGGGAATAGTGGAAACAATCTACCACCCAGGTACTTAGGGATAACTGCCCTGTGTTCCTTTGCACCTTGCTGTCTCCAAGTTCTGCTTCCTCTCCTCCCTTATCAGCACTTTTTCTTCCCACCTTAGTTGCAATCAGAAAATCATTATTTAGACAGCATCCATGTAGCTCATCTTTTCCCCAGGACTGTAAACTGAATAAGACTATGTCCAGGGCCCTGCTTAGTGCCAGTTCAGAAAGATCAGGAATTCCTCTTCTAAGAAATTTGCAAGTAGAAACTTTCTCCATGGATGCCTCCAACACTTAGAGTTTAGCTGTCAATCACAGCAAGAAGGAACTCTCCTTTTATCCATACTCCTTTGTTAATTCATTCATGCATTTAGCAAAGCTTTTCCACTTGGCTCTGTGCCAGGCAAAGTCCCTGCCTTCTCCTGACAGTCTAGGAGCTCCTCCTCAGCAGTTCTCAAATATGCAGTGTCTGGGGCTGGGGTTGTAGCTTAGCAGTAGAGTGCTTGCCTAGCATGTGTGATGCACTAGGTTCAATCCTCAGCACCACATAAAAGTAAATAAACAAAATAAACAAGTCCATCTACAACTAAAAAATTTTTAAAAATATGCAGTATCTATCTTTCACTCTAAATTGTGCTTCTGGGTAAGGCACACAAAGGTGGAATAATCATGAAACACTGAACTCTTAGGGCACAATAAAATCAATAGCATAAGTACAGAGACAGTGGATTTAGGGAAGAGGGGTGGAGGAGGGACTTACATGGTCAGTTTGAATCTGAGCTCAGTCACCAACCAGTAGACCATGGAAAGCTCACTAGACATGGTGACCCCCATCAAAATGTCTATACTATGGCATAGAAAGTACTGACTGTTTCAAACAATGGGTCTCACTGACAGAGAGACACCAGCAAATGTGAGGAGAATAGAAGGACACTATGATATTTTTTCTCCCTTTCCTTTTCTTTCTTCTGAGTTCAGGTATGGAAAGTCCAGGGAAGCAGGGTGTTGATCAGCATATAATTTTTCTGTGGCTGCTGTAACACATTACCACAAATTTGGTAGCTGGAAACAACCGATTTTGTTTTTCCTCAAAGTTCTGGAACACAGGAGTCCAAAATCGGTTTCACTGAGCTAAAAATCAAGGAGTCAGGAGGATCAGACACCTGAGATTCTAGGGAAGAATTCTTCTTTCTCTTTTCCAGTTTCTAATGGCCATGGCATTCTTTGACTTGTATCACATCACATTACTCTAATCCATAGATGTATTGTGTGTGTATATATATTAAAATATCCATAGCATAAAATTTACCACCATAACCATTTTTAAGTGTGCAGCTCAGAAGCATTAAATACAATCGCGTTGTTGGGTAACCAACATCAGCATCCAACTCAGCCAGCATACCCCCTCCCACTCCCACTCCGCCGCTTCCTCCATTGTCTCCTCCTCCTCCTCCTCCTCCTCCTCCTCCTCCTCCTCCTCCTCCTCCTTCTTCTCTCTCTCTCTCTCTCTCTCTCTCTCTCTCTCTCTCTCTCTCTCTCTCTCTCTTTCTCTCTCATCTTTCTTTTTTTCTACCTGATATATTTTCCAGAGAAAGCAGCATTCAAGATGATTTGTGAGGTTGGCGTAGGGAGAAGGTGCTGCTGAAGGTGATTCCAGGCCTAAGGATAAAAACCAAAATATTGTCAGGAAAAGAGGAAATAGAGAAGAGTGAGAAGGGTCAGGATAGAAGACTATTGAGTTCACCTGAGCCTACCCCTAGACTGTGGGTGAAGAAGGTGAAATAGAAGGAAAGATAAAAAGCAATAAAGGTAAAGTGTCCCTGACCTTCCCTCTAAAACTGTAATCAGGGAGGGATTGACCCCTGGTGGGCTTCATCTAAGGATCTGAGCATCAGTTCAGCCCTTGACTTGCTGGGTTAGCTTGGATACACCCTTTAAATTCTCTGAATATCAGCTCTAAAGTAGAGAGAGACCCAATTCTTTTTCAAAATCTTTTATTGGTGCATTATAGTTATGTATAATGGTAAGATTCATTGTTAATATTAGTTCATGTACACAATAATAATATAATTTAGCCAATATCCCTCCCCAGCGTTTTCCCCCTTCTTCCCCTCCTCCCACCCCCTAGTCCCTTTCCTCTATTGTATTGATCTCCCTTTGCTTTTCACGAGATACCTCCCTTTCTTTTCCTTTCTACTCTCTTGCTTCTACATATGATAAAAACATGACCTTCTGCATTTGGCTTATTTCACTTAACATCATAGTCTAGAGACAAGACTCAATTTGATCTAACAGATTTGCTGAGTGCCCACCATTCATGCCAGCTTCAGGTTGAGTCCAGAACTCAGGTTGCTTGATGGAGGGCTATAGCTCTTTCTTCTGGATACTAAACATCTGACTGGCTTCAGAGAGGAGTTACAGAACAAAGAAGGAGCTGCAAGACACTCAGCCTGCCTTCCCCAGAGCTCTTCACAGGACATTGCCTCAACTTTGACCTCAGCCTGGTGGAGCAGGAAGAGTGCATGGCTGGGAGTCAGGACCCTCAGTTCAGATACTAGTTCCTCTGTCAAGTGACCTTACAAATCACTTCCCCATCTGAGATTGTTTCCTCTCCAGTCTTATTGCCAGAATTTGACTAGTTGGTCTCTTAAGAAGGCTCCTGGTGCCCATTATAACTCTAGCCAGGCTCCTGAAACTCCCTGGGCCTCCAACTCTTCTCCATCCAGTGGTAACAAGCCCTGAATAGTTGCATGACAGAGGTGTGTCACCCTCACTTCATCCTGAGTTTCATCTCCTGCTACATCTGCCAGATTCAGAGATGATATTTTCTATTGCTCACCAGCATTTCTAAAGTAGAAGTGGGGAACATGACCATTGTTTATAAAGCATCAAGCTCCTCCTTGGATGTTCCTCACCCAGTGAGCTCAGAAGTGGCTGTATAGTCAGTGCATACCTGATTAGAATTCTAGCTCCTTCTCTCATTAGTGAGGAAACCTCAGAACAAGTTATCCAGCTTTGGTGTGGGAGCTTGTTTTCCTCACTTGCAAAATGTGGATAATAAGATTTAAGATATATCAAAGAACATATGGAAAACACTTCAGCATACTGCCACATACATATTTAGTGTTCAATTAAACAGCTGACTTTGGGGTTAATAAGGGTGTAGCTGAATGATACATGCACAAGGTCCTGGGTTCAATTCCAAGCATGGCAAACACTGGGGTGGAGGGCGGTTAACTTTTATCTTCTTAATCCTGGTCACCTTATCTGGACTCAAAGATGAGTGGTCCTTATCAGGCCCCTTCCCTCCCAGGACAGGAGACAGATATGAAAAAAATACTAAGCCTAGAGGTTGTGACAAATTGTACAACTTCAATTTTCTTCATAATGATCCTACTGTTTTCCCCATTTTATGGGCAAGTACACTGAGACTTAAAAGGGTTAAGTAACTTGCCCCATGGTCCATCAGCTGGTAGATGGCCAAACTGGCATTCAGCCCCATGTACCCAGTGGTACAGTGTCACGTTTTTCACGACTAAAACACTTAGGGTCACTCCAGGGGAACTGGGCTGCACAAAATAACCACACAAGAGTCAGAGATACCTTTTTCTTTGGGGTCCTGTGATGGCTCCTCTGACCTTAAGGGTCCACAGAAAGAGAGAGTGAGTGCGTGCTCAACCCTTTTGTTGAGGAGAAGCCATTCAAATGAGGCAAGGGGTCAGGTTTCAGGGGGTTGAGTCTTGCTTTGTAATGTCTGCTGTCAGCAGGTTGACTAACATCTAGGAAGGCCACACCCAAAGGTAGAGCAAGAGAAGGGGACACACAAAGGGTGTTTCCATGGAGCATTCTATCCCAAACAGGGCAAAGGGGTAATATCACAAAGGAACAGGTGAGCATAGCTCAATTTATGGGGTGAAACACCTATGTCTGAAGACATGTCCTCAAACTTCCAGGACCAGGGCAATGTCCAGGTCACTAGGAGATGTAGTGACGGCCAAAGCCTCTCCATTCTGGGAAGGAGAATGTGAATTATTCAGACTGGCTCCCCACATATTATATATATATATATATATATATATATATATATATATATATATATATATATATATATATATATATATATATATTTAAAAACTGGTGAATTATATTTTTCAGTCACTGGATTCTTGGTCCAAGGTCATCATGATTTACAATTGAAACACAAAAGGAATTAGTAGAAAACATATAATTTCAATAACACAATCAACTTGGAAGATCCAAGTTATTGTTATTATTCTGCTAAACGCTCATCAGAAGATTCCTAGTATTTTCCAGATTTTATTGGGATGCATTGAGTTTGGCCATAGTAATATAAACATTTTCATTGACATGGCATTTAAGCCTTTCCATAAACCATAGAGCAGAGGGAGGGCTCATTCACATTATTTATTACAGTGTCTTTTTAAAATTTTTTTATTTGTTTTAATTAGTTATACAATGCAATGGAATACACTTATATACTTTGATATATCATACATAGATGGGATATAATTTCTCATTTTTCTGAGTGTACATATTGTAGAATTACATTGGTCATAAAGTCACATACACACATAAAGTAATAATGTCTGTTTCATCCTACTATCTTTCTTATCCCCACATCCCCTGCTTTCCCCTCCTTTCACTTCCCTCTACCTAATCTAAGGTAATGCTATTATTATTTTTTTTGCATTGCAATTCTTAATTCACATATATACCACAGTTTTTGTATCTCTGTTTGTATATAAAGTATGTTGACACCCAATTCAAGTCTTCATACACGTACTTTGTATAATGATGTCCATCAAATTCCACCATTCTTGCTAATCCCCTGCCCCCTCCCTTTCCCTCCCACCCCTCTTTCCTATCTAGAATTCATGTATTCCTCCCATGCTCTCCCTCCCAATCCCACTATGAGTCAACCTCCTTATATCAGAGAAAACCTTCAGTATTTGTTTCCTGGGGATTGGCTGACTTCACTTAGCATTATCTTCTCCAACACCATCCATTTACCTGCAAATGTCATGGTTTTGTTCTTTTTTAATGCTAAGTAAAATTCCATTGTGCATATATGCCACATTTTTTTATCCATTCATACACTGAAGGACATCTAGTTTGGCTCCACAGTTTAGCTATTGTGAATTGTGCTGCTATAAACATTGATGTGGCTGTGTCCCTGTAGTATGCTGTTTTTAAGTCCTTTGGGTATACTCCAAGGAGAGGAATAGCTGGGTCAAATAGTGGTTCCATACCAAGTTTTCCAAGGAATCTCCACACTGCTTTCCATTTTGACTGCACCAATGTTCAGTCCCACCAGCAATGTATGAGTGTTCCTTTTCCCCCACATCCTCGCCAATATTTATTGTTGTTTGCCTTCATAATAGCTGCCATTCTGAGTGGAGTAAGATGGTATCTTAGAGTGGTTTTGATTTGCATTTCTCTGATTGCTACAGATAATGAGGTTTTTTCAAATATTTATTGATTGACTGTATATTGTCTTTTGAGAAGTTTCTGTTCACGTCCTTAGCCCATTTGTTGATTGGGTTATTTGTGTTTTCAGTGCTTAGCTTTTTGAGTTCTTTATATACCCTAGAGATTAGTGCTCTATCTGATGTGTGAGGGGTAAAAATTTGAATCCAGGATTTAGGCTCTTTGTTCACCTCACAGACTGTTTCTTTTGCTGAAAAGAAACTTTTTGGTTTGATTCCATCTAATTTATTGATTCTTGGTTTTAATTCTTATGCTATAGGAGTCTTATTAAGGAAGTTGGGGCCTAACCCCACATGATGAAGATTAGGGCCTACTTTTTCTTCTGTTAGACACAGAGTCTCTGGTTTAATTTCGAGGTCCAAGTTCCATTTTGAGTTAAGTTTTGTGCATGGTGAGAGATAGGGGTTTAATTTCATTTTGTTGCATGTGGATTTCCAGTTTTCCCAGCACCATGTGTTGAAGAGGCTATCTTTTCTCTGGTGCATGTTTTTGGCACCTTTGTCTAATATAAGATAATTGTAATTTTGAGGGTTATTCTCTGTGCCCTCTATTCTGTACCATTGGTCTACCAGCCTGTTTTGGTGCCAATACCATGCTGTTTTTGTTACTATTGCCCTGTAGTATATTTTAAGGTCTGTTATAGTGATACTACCTGCTTCACTCTTCCTGCTTAGAATTGCGTTAGCTATTCTGTGTCTCTTATTTTTTACAGATGAATTTCATGATTGTTTTTTCTATTTCTATGAGGAATGCCATTGGGATTTTTATCGGAATTGCATTAAATCTGTATAGTGCTTTTGGTAGTATGGTCATTTTGATAATATTAATTCTGCCTATCCAAGAGCAAGATAGATCCTTCCATCTTCTAAGGTCTTCCTTGATTTCTTTCTTTAGGGTTCTGTAGTTTTCATTGTTTAGATCTTTCATTTTTTTTGTTAAGTTGATTCCCAAGTATCTTATTTTTTTTTGAGGATATTGTGAATGGAGTAGTTTCCTCATTTCCTTCTCAGATGTTTTTTTGTCACTGATATACAGAAATGCCTTTGATTTATGGGTGTTAATTTTATATCCTGCTACTTTGCTGAATTCATTTACTAGTTCTCAAAGTTTTCTGATGGAGTTTTTTTGGTCTTCTAGATATAGAATCATATCATCAGCAAATAGAGCTAATTTAAGTTCTTCTTTTTCTATACATATTCCTTGAATTTCTTTTGTCTAATTGTCTGGCCAGTATTTCAAGAACTATGTTGGATAGAAGTGGTGAAAGAGAGCATCCCTGTCTTGTTCCAAATTTTAGAGGGAATGCCTTCAATTTTTCTCCATTTATAATGATGTTGGCCTGAGGCTTAGCATAGATTGCCTTTACAGTGTTGAGATATGTTCCTGTTATCCCTAGTTTTTTTGTGTTTTGAACATAAAAGCGTTCTGTATTTTGTCAAATGCTTTTTCTGCATCTATTTAAATGATCATATGATTCTTATCTTTAAATCTATTGATGTGATGAATTACATTTATCGATTTCTGTATGTTGAACCAAACTTGCATCCCTGGGATGAATCCCACTTGATCATGGTGCACAATTTTTTTGATATGTTTTTGTATTTGGTTTGCCAGAATTTTATTGAGAATTTTTGCATCCATGTTCATTAGAGACATTGGTCTGAAGTTTTCTTTCTTTGAAGTGCCTTTGTCTGGTTTTGGAATCAGGGTGCTATTGGTCTCATAGAATGAGTCTGGAAGTACTTCCTCTTTTTCTATTTCCTGAAATAAATTTAAGAGTATTGGTATTAGTTGTTCTTTAAAGAACAACTAATTAGTTGTTCTTTAAAGTTCTTGTAGAACTCAGCTGTGTATCCATCCGGTCCTGGGCTTTTCTTCATTGGTAATCTTTTGATAGCTTCTTCAATTTCCTCATTTGATATTGGTGTTT